AAAAAAATGAAGAAAAGATGCTAAGATGTGAATGATTCAAGTAGAATGACTAAAATGAACATCTTCCATAGTCGCATAGTGCTACCTCTATGCGGTCGAATAGAGGCAAACCGAAAGTAAAATATCACAAAAAAATTACTCTATGCGACCGCATAGAGATGCTCTATGCGGTCGCATAGAGCATTTCTGGGCCAAAACAAGTTTCATTTTTCCGTCGAAACTCTTATGGAAACAATATTTTTAGGGTTCTATATAAACAAAAACTCGACCAGAACGAGAGGGACGCTATTTTTACAAGTTTTTGAGAGATTTTGAAGGAGAAACGAAGAGAGAACAAGTGAAGATTCGATTGAAACTTGATTCGGGTGATGACGTTTCTTCAACTATTTTTATATTTTCTTCTTTTTAGCATGTTAGGCTAGATTTTTCATTGCTAGGAGATCGATGAACCTTGTAATACTATGTTTGATTTTTGATTTGGATATTTGATATATTTAAACGCATGTTCCGAAATTGAATGATTTATTACGTTTTTATTTTCATATGATTATTGTGCACATAATTATATGATTGTAGTGGCCCGTTTTATGCATTCGAAAGAAAAAAATAGTTTCGATATAGTATAAGTCATCATAGGATCCGATAGGGGATATAAATATACATCTATGCCTTGTGTGAATTATTGGATATTTATGAATTTATAATGCATTTCGGTATGTTAGTATTCGTTATAAAAATATAGTCGAATCATATATTGTGATAGGTTTGGCATTGCTCGAGAGAGATTGCTAAATTAAAATAGGAATATTATTCATCTTTTATGGAACTGCGTGTCAAATTTGCACGATTAAAAATTGAACGGGTATTGTTTGAGAATTCGTGATCCTAGTACGTTAGTAAATTCATTAATTCCATAAATTCTAATAAATTGTTTCCAAGTTATTTTGCATTTAATATAATTTTTCATTCGTATTTGCATCATAGTTTACATCTTCTTAGCTAAATTACAATACATCAATTTTACTTTCGTGTTTCGGTTAAAATCATAATACGTTGATTTTAACCAATTCAATCCTTGTGGGATCAATACTTGGACTCATAGTCCATTTTACTACTTGTTAACGAACCGTACACTTGCGGTAGATTTTAAATCGAAACAAATAATTTCGTGAACATCTAAATCAGGCAACTCCTTTATTTTTTTATTTTTTTTCATATGAATCAGAAACAAGCCATTTTTGCTTTAGTATATGTTGATGACATAGTAATCACTAGAAATGATCATAACTTGTTGCAATGCTTCATTGACAAATCAAACACCCGGTTTGTGCTAAAAGACATGGGTGAGTTACATTAATTTCTGGGAATTGAAGTTACATTATTCGGTTGATATTACGGTTTTCCTCCGCCTTAAGTGAGGGTTATTATGAATAAATGCCTGATGGGCTTTTTTTTTTTTTTTTTTTTTTAAAGCGGGCTTGAATCAGGCATGCATCTTACTCAGATCAAGTACACAAAGGACTTGCTAAAAAGGTTCAGTTTTGAGAACCTCAAACCCCATGCAATTTCTATGACAGCAGGCAAGTACATCTCCAAAAATGAGGGTGAGAAGATGGTAAATCCTTCTCTATATAGAAGTGCAATCGGAAGATTACAAGACCTAGAACATACAAGACCTGACAGCCTTTGCGATGAACAAAATGAGCCAGTGTCTTCATGTACCTTCAGATATACACTAGAAGGCAGTAAAAAGGATCTTCAGGTACCTAAAAGGAACAATTGAGCAATGCTTATAGATTCAAAGAAATGACAGAATACAGATCACTGGATTTGCTGATGCAAACTGGCATCGTGTCCTGATGATTGGAGGTCGACTTCAGGATACTGTGTTTACTTGGGAGATATATTAGTGGCTTGGTCATTCAAAAATCAATAAGTTGTGGCCAGGTCCAACACTCAATCAGAAGACAGAGCTCTAGCACATGCAACTGCCGAGATAGTTTGAATTGAATCACTGCTCAAGGAAATCAAACTGCATCCTGGATGAGTTCCCATATTATGGCATCACAATATCAGTGCAAGTGCATTAGTCTCAAATCCTGTCTATCATGCACGAACAAAGCAAATTGAGTTTGATATATATTTTGTCAGGGACAAGTTTCTTGAAAAGAAGTTGAGTATACAATATGTTCCATCTTTAGATCAAATTGCAAATTTGTCAACTAAGCCTCTTACACAAACCGGAATTTTGTTTCTCAAAGACAAGCTTGGAATAAAGTAGTAAACTTCAGATCGAGGAAGGATGTTGAAATATAAATCAATTGAGCACACGTGACAGAATCAGCAATCTGGTAGCTGCACATGGATACTGTTAGCTGGTAGTATGAAACTTTGGGGACCATAGCGACTTGTTGTAACAATATTGACCAAGTTTCTTGAAAAGAAGTTGAGTATACAATATGTTCCATCTTTAGATCAAATTGCAAATTTGTCAACTAAGCCTCTTACACAAACCGGAATTTTGTTTCTTAAAGACAAGCTTGGAATAAAGTAGTAAACTTCAGATCGAGAAAGGATGTTGAAATATAAATCAATTGAGCACACGTGACAGAATCAGCAATCTGGTAGCTGCACATGGATACTGTTAGCTGGTAGTATGAAACTTTGGGGACCATAGCGACTTGTTGTAACAATATTGATTCTTGCGTGTATAATCAAATGTTGGATAAGTTAGTTATTTTTTCTTGCCCACCACTCCAAGAATGTATATAAATATTGTACTCTGTACACTCTAAATTATTGGAAAAACTTTATACATTCACAAGTCCATTGCAATTTTATCTTTTGGAAGGTTGAAGAAGCTAGAGATTGAGATTTTTGTTGATATTTGGATTATTAGTGAAGAGGTAAATTGGGGATTAATGAAGTGATTTTGGGTTAGATATTGGGTGAGTGATAAGGCTTGTTTGGTGGAGTAATGATAGCATGATTATTGATTAATTTTGAAGAGTAAAGTAATTTTTAGGTTGTTAAAATTACTGCATAAATTAAAGTATTTCTGGATTAAAATAATATGAAATGTAAAATATGAATATGTCTTTTTTTTAAAAAAAAAAAGTGGTATTGGGTGGAATTTCCTCAAAAAAGCTGGTCAAATCAATATTATTTTCAATGGAACCATTTATTTAGTTAGATTTTGAGGCTTCAAAAATAAATTTTAATGCATACCATTGTATAAAATTCACTTTCACTTAATTAATAAAGCTCTATAATATTTTGAATAAATATGAATGTAAATAAATTAGATTTTATTGAGGTACACTTTAAAATATGTTTAGAATCAAATCAAAATTTGGTCCTGTATCGAGAACTAAGAACCAGAATACAACTATTTGGTTTTCGAGTTTGAGATCCAGAATGGAATCAATTTCAATTGAGATAGAACTATTTGGTTTGGTCCAATTCAGATTCATGTCATCGGGCGGTTCTGAGTAAATATACTCACCCGTAATATTCAGTGTCTCAAGTGAATTGGGACCAAGAATATAACAAACATATATATTATTTGAATAAGTGATATTTAAAAGGGGAATAATAAAATAAAAGAATTTTTTAGATAGAAAAGCTAGTCCATTTCCACTGCTCTTGTTCATGTAAATATATTAACATATATTGAATTATTGAAATAAATTAAAAAATTAAAACATAAAGATCACACATTGTTAAAGTGGATTATACAACACTTGAGACAACATTAATAGTACTTAAGACATGATATTAGAACAATCTAATAGGCAACATTCAAACATTTGTTTTAAAATATTACTGAGTAGTGTACAATATCTCCCAAGCGAATTCAAAGAATTATTCCGTCTTCAAGTCCGTTTAATATGATATCGCATACGAAATCTACCTTAATGAATTGATATAATTGAAAGTTGTCATCAATATGATGACATCATATAAAATGAATGATGGGAGAATCATCGAAGTAAATAACATGTAGTTGAATTTAGTTATTAATAAAATGACTATGGAGCATGTATATGCGCATACTTTTATAAATCACACAATAGTTATTTTTTTTATTAAAAAAAAAAAAAAAAAAAAAAACCCCCCCCCCTCCCCAAAAGAAAAAAATCCTAGGCAACCTCCGTTCCATGTAGTAACAACCACTATCCCATTATTCTCTTGAATTTCACTAACTTAATTGTCTGTAGTATATAACATTCAAATCCACCTTTCCGATTGGTAGATATTCAAACAAATATACACGTATATGATTCCATACCCTACAAATTATTAAATTTCTTTCCAATTTTAGAGTTCTCAACTATCTGTATATGAGAATTTGAGAATTGGGTCACCGCGCAGAGTTTCAATCGAAAATAGTGTATCAATTCACTTCTACACGCTTCCTTAAATTCTTTGTTTATTTTTAGGAGTAATATATTAGCATTTTAAAGATTAGTCTAGTGAAATTTAAACGAACTGAGAGAATATTTTGTTTAATGACAAATTTTGTCGACCAAATTTAATTTTATTACTTCATATTGATTTATTTTGGTTAGTAAATTAAATCTATTAAAATAATTTTTTTGGGGCAATAAAAAATATTATAAATTTTATAAACAGAATATTTATTCAAAGATTCTGCTTGTAGGCTATTAATTTGTAATGAGATTATCAAATACGTCGTAGTTCTATCGGTAGATTCATCATTGATATCTTAATTATTTTAAGAGTGTTTTAAAATGATTCAATAATATAATAACAATCAAGTTTAGTAGTAACTCATAATAGAGGATAATAGCAGAACTATTCTTAATCAATGGGATGATTACCTTATCTACAAACTTGTATTTCTCAAAAATCATAACCAATTACCAATAAAGATAACAAAAAAATCAGGAAATCTCATTTCAAAATATATTCTATCCTCCTTAAACCAGCCATTAAACACTATAAATAGATCATTTACTAGTAACTATTCCATAAGCTTGAAGCTAAGTACTCTGAAATTAGCAAATATGGCGAACAAAATTTGCTTTACTCCTCCATTCCTTCTTCTTTGTATTGCTTTATTCCTGTGTCAAAGTCTAGCCGCCGACAAAAATGTCGTCGATAATAATGATCAAACATCATTTTTAAATGCGAATGTGCAAGCCGAATACAATAAAATGTCAAGCAAGCAAGCCGACTGGTGGTTGGGTCGACCCATGTTTCCTTGGCCTTTTGTTCATCCTCCACTACCATCTGGCATCCCCAAGTTTCCTTGGCCATTTGTTCATCCGCCACTACCTTCCGGCATCCCCAAGTTTAACTGGCCTTTCGTTCATCCCCCATTACCATCTGGCTTCCCCAAGTTTCCTTGGCCTTTTGTTCATCCGCCACTACCAGCAGGCTTCCCAAAGATTCAGTGGCCTTTTGTGCCTCCGCCTATTCCGTCTGGCGGTTTGAAATTCCCACCAAATTTCCCGTGGTTCCATTTTCCTTCGATTCCACCTTATATGCAGCATCCCCATGGAAACAATGCAGGTGTCGCAGATGAAATTAGCACAGCAAGCACTAATCCAAAATGTTCGTCTACTAATGAAATTGTGGAAAGTTGCATGCGAGCGTCTGGAATGTCACACAGCTGGGGTTACATATTTAGCCCGGATTGTTGCAAGGCTATTGCAGAAGTTAGCGATGAATGCCATCCCACGTTTGTGACCATGATTAAGGATCAGTGTTCAAACAAAGCTACCGCGCCTCCTCCCACGGCTTAAATATTTAATGTTCATTAGGACAGTTATTTTATTATTATTTTTTCTTTCTTGTTATTTAATGATGCTTTTCTTAGATGCTTATGTGGTAGGATTCGGAATATAATAAATTAGAAAAATCTTAACTATAATTGCTTTTTCTAAATTCTTTTAGCATTTTATTTATTTTTTCTATGGCAATGCATTTTTCGAATCTTAAGGGAATATATTAAGTCGTGACATTTCTTGAATGTCAATTGACCCTGATAAAATAGTTAATTTTTTGGTGAATATTTCAGCAGTTTCTACTAAAAATGTGTGTAGTTTTGCCGTAACCATTAATACAAGAGAAGTAAAAATAAATAAAAAATGAATAAATAACTATTATAATGAAACCAATTGACTAAGATATAACGATTGCAAATAAATAACAAACCTGTTAAATATGAAAAATTTAAGGCATTACGCTTCAATTTATTATAATAAATTAATCTATTAACAAACACCGGATAAATTTTCAGTTTTAATGGGTAAATGTAGGCATTGTCTTCAATTTTTTTTGAATGCGTAAATGAAGGCAATTCACCAAGTTTTTTTTGTGAGAATGATCGATTCGATAATGTTTGACCCTGTCTTGGCAAAAAGCAAATATGTATTTCTTGTTTTACCCATTAATTTGTTTCTATACTATTTTGAAGTCGTTGTTAATTTGTATTTTATATATATATATTTTTTTCTTTCTTATTATTTCTTAAGATGTACTATTTTTATGATATTTGATATATAATAAAATAAGATCCATTCCTTAAAAATTTATATATTTTGTAAATACAATTGACAAATGATAAAGAAAACAACTTAATATATTGCAATAAAAAAAGATTATAGCCCGAGTAGAACATGAAATGAAAACGTTTACGAGCCTCATGCCGCTAGTAAATAATCCACTTTATAGAAAAAGGATATAGATGTCTCATATATTATTTTCAATTTATCCCATAAAACAAAAATAAAAATAAATTCATCTACCGTCACTTCTACGATTGTACCAAAATTGCTCTACAGTTCAGTGTAAGAATTCCATTCTCATTTTTGTAGGAAAACAAGTCACTAGTAGATGAAACCAATTGTATAAGTTTTATTCTATTGCAATAGCCGACTATTGAAATTAATAACCACAAGACAAACAATTTCAATTTATCAAAAAAAAATTCCGTTTCAGAATTTTCCAACGGCTGAAAAAAAAATGTTTAGCAACACAAAATCAGAAATATAAGTTAACTGCAGGCTAAAACTGTAAACGATGAATCTGAAAGCTGCACACTATGGAACTACAAACTGCATGAATTAAATAGTAATGAAAAAATAATCTGTAGAAAGAAAACACAAACTGCAGTAGATTTCAAACCGAGGTCTGTGTGTGTACAGTTTTTTTAAGACAGTTTTGCCCCCTCACCGTAGGTATTGGAGGTACAGTTTGAATGGCTGTCTCCCAGGATACAACGGTAATAAGTAGAATCTGAGCACCGCGGTCCTACTCCGACGAACTGATCTAATATCTGAACAATGTCACCACAAGAATAAAACCTTACTGGACAAGGAATGCAGAAAAGAATAAACTTTGTATGCAGGAATGTGTGTGAGATTTTCGAGTGTGTTAGATTGCTGGAGAATGAGCCTTTTTATAGGCATACTCCCATTAATATTGTGACCATTGGGAGTCCATTGGAGTTACTTCTCATTAACACTGTGACCATTAGGAGTCCATTGGAGTTTTTTCAGTTTAGAAACTCAAAAGTCATTGGAAAAAGACAAAAAAAAAATAAAAAAAAATTGGCAAAATGTGGGCTCACCGATGGGGCCATTTTTGCCTTGTTCGGTTCGACATTCGTGTGCGCAGGTCGCGCCAGCACCCAAGTTCAAGGTCCGAAGGCCATTTCGGTTCGTGATTTGCACCCTCCCCTGTGCGCGCACGTGGAGAGAGCCTCTATGCTGCACATGATTACACATCTCCAAAGCATAGCCATATATAAAGTGGTTTAAGTTTCCTTGGTTTTTCTATATGGGATAAATGCATTTTTCCCACAAAATCGACTTCCAATGACCAACTTTGAGCTTCAATTTCTCATTCACCCGAACTTCATTTTTGGCAAATAAATACATGAAATCGATGTTCTCGCGGAGGAGAACACATATCAACTTTGATATTCCACATTGGACCAACGGGTCCCATCGAAAATTGTACCAAAAGTGAGCCGCTCACTCAATTTTTTCCAACAATCCCCCACATGAATGAAAATTGGGAGAGACACGAAACGTGAGGCACAAGACTAGGTGATAAAGTTCAGTGGTTGAATCCTGCATAGGATAGGTAGGTGTTACCCTTTGAACCTTCCCTTGTGAAAGCATATTTACTTTATTGGCTGACTAGTAGACGCGATGTCCTTGAACTGTTCTGCCGTTTGTGGAAACGATGATATACCTCACACAGGATTCTTCCTAACATAATCCAGTTCTTATTGTTATGTTTGTTATGGCCATGAACATATGCCTGATTCTGTGAGAGTTCTTAAGAATTGAGCCCCACCCAATTTTCTTAGAAGCGGCCCCACTTCTCTCTTACATAGGTGATTTCTTATTACAAGTAACCCGCATTATTTGGCTCGATTTATGACGCATAAGAACCATTAAAAGCCTATTGCTTAACTTTCAACCTTACGGGCATCACTGTTACATCATAGGAATGGACAGGAGGTAATACCTCCACAGTGATTTTATCAAGTCTTTACAGTTAAGTTTTCCCATTGAACCTAGATCTTGGGATCTCCAGTCAACTAGATTGGGTTTCCTTTGTAATGACTTATTCTTTCAAGGGTTTAAGTCCCATTTCTTTCGATGATTTCATAACTAACTCTCTATTTAACCCTTTGGTTAGCGGATCCGCAATGTTATCTTTTGACCTTATATAGTCAATAGTGATAACTCCAGTTGAGAGTAGTTTTCTTATGGTATTGTGTCTACTACATATATGTCTAGACTTACTATTATATATGTTACTCTATGCCATTCCTATTGCCGATTAACTGTCACAATATATGCAAATTGCTGGCACATGTTTTGATCATCTTGAAATATCCTCTAAGAAGTTGCGCAACCATTCAGCATCTTCACCATATTTATCTAGAGCTATAAACTCAGATTCCATCGTAGATCTGGCTATAACCATTTGCTTAGAAGATTTCCAAGATATGGCAGTACCACCCAATGTGAACACATATCCACTGGTTGATTTTGAATCTTTTATATTAGATATCCAATTAGCATCACTGTATCCTTCAATGACTGCTGGATATCTAGTATAATGTAGTCCATAGTCACGAGTATATCTTAAGTACCTTAGTACTCTTACAATTCCTTTCCAGTGATCAGCTCCTGGATTACTCGTGTATCTTCTCGATTTACTAACTGTGTAGGCTATGTCTGGTCTAGTACAACTCATTAAGTACATAAGACTTCCGATAACTCTCGAGTATTCTACTTGAGAGATACTTTCTCCTCTGTTTTTAGACAGATTTTGACTCGTATCTATTCGTGTTTTAGCCAAGCCAGTATCATCCTTATGGAATTTTCCTAAAATTTTGTCCACATAATGTGACTGACTTAGAACAAGCCCATTTGATGTTCTTGAGATTTTCACTCCAAGTATAACATCAGCTAAACCCATGTCTTTCATGTCAAATCTCGAGTTTAACATATTTTTTTGTGAATTCAATCATCTTATTGTCACTACCAACAATAAGCAGGTCATAAACGTAAAGATATAAGATGACATGTCCATCTTTAGTATCTTTGACGTAAACACATTTGTCACATTCATTGATTTTAAATCCACTCTCAATCATGACACTGTCAAATTTTTCATACCATTGTTTTGGTGCTTGTTTCAAGCCATATAGTGATTTCACCAATTTAGAGACTTTCTTTTCCTGTCCTGGTGACAAAAACCCCTCAGGTTGTTCCATGTAAATTTCTTTTTCTAAATCTCCATTTAGAAAGGCAATTTTAACATCCATTTGATATACTTCAAGATTTCGCAAAGCGACAATCGTAAGTATTATCCTAATAGATGTTATTCTAGTCACTGGAGAATACGTATCAAAGTGATCAAAGCTTTCCATTTGTTTGTAGCCTTTAATTACTAATCTGGCCTTATACTTCTCGATAGTTTCATCTGCTTTCATTTTCCTTTTGAAAATCCATTTGTAGCCTAGTGGTTTGCTTCCTGGAGGAAGATCCACTAGCTCCCATGTATGATTTTGTAGTATGGAATCTATTTCACTTTCAATGGCTTCTTTCCATTGAGGTCCTTCCGAGGAATTCACTGCTTCTTGATAACTTTGAGGTTTACTTTCTAGCATATAGGTCAGAAAATCAGGACCATAAGATTTTTTTGTCCTTTCCAATTTGTTGTGTCTAACCTCAGTCTCCTCTTCTAATTCTTCGTTCTGACTATTTTCAATCATTGTCTCATATGTTCGTTTAGAGGAGCTTGCTTCCTCTTTGGATCTATATGGAAATACTTCTTCAAAGAATGTAGCATTCCTTGATTCCATTATCGTGTTTTTGTGTATGTCTGAAATTTTTGAATTATACACAAGAAAGTGATACGCACTGCTATTATGTACATAGCCAATGAAGACATAATCTATAGTTTTCGGGCCTATCCTTACCTTCTTTGGTGGTGGAACAGCCACTTTAGCAAGACACCTCCACACTCTCAAGTGTTTATAGGTAGACATTCTTCCTTTCTATAACTTATAAAGGGTCTTTTTCGATTTCTTTCCGGGGACCTTATTTGAAAGGTGATTTGTTGATAACACAGCTTCCTCCCACATGTGCTGAGGTAACCCAGAACTTATGAGCATTGCATTCATCATCTCTTTTAAGGTACAATTTTTCCGTTCAACAACACCATTTTGTTGCGGTGAATAAGGGGTGGTGGTTTCATGTATGATTTCATGTTGTGCATAGAATTCAGCAAATGGTGCTTCATACTCACCACCTCGATCACTTCGCAATACCTTAATTTTCTTATTAAGTTGATTCTCAACTTCATTCTTATAGAGAACAAATTTCTCTATAACTCATC